TGGAGTTGTTGCTGCGAGTAACACAAAAGTACAAAGTTGCAAAAGCGAGTGAGAATTAAAGAATTTGAAGAAAAGCTATCTGAAGCATGTACAAACTGATATTTATCTTTACTCTCTGTGTGGACGGAAGACCAAAACGGAGACAAAAGGATGCATTTTCAAACGAAAACGTGTTAGTGTGGACATGGCCTAAGGGAGAATTCAGGGTCACCTGAACCAGCCCTAACGATATGTTTCCTCAAAAAGGAAAGTTTTAAGGAAAAGTCAAGGAAAGTGAAGTTCTCTGCCTTTTAATCTTAAAGGTAGAGAGGGAGTCTACAGAATCCAAACTGGAAGCGTGTTCCACAGAAGAGGGGCCTGAAAGCTGGAGGCGCTACCTCCCATTATACAATATCTCACAAAAATGAGTACACCCCTCACATTTTTGTAAATATACAAATATATCTTTCCATGGGACAACATGGAAGATATGCCACTTTGATACAATATCAAGTACTCAGTGTACAGCTTGTATAACAGTGTAAATTTGCTGTCACCTAAAAATAACTCAACATACAGCCACTAATGTTTAAACTGCTGGCAACAAAAGTGAATACACCCCTAAGTGAAAATGTCCAAGCTGTCCTCGAAGGGTCAATATTTTGTGTGGCCACCATTATTTTCCAACACTGCCTTAACTCTGTTGGGGATGAAGTTCACTAGAGCTTCACAGGGTGCCACTCGTCCATGATGACATACTGGAGCTGGTGGATGTTAGAGACCTTTTGATCCTCCATTTTCCCTTTGAGGACTTCCCACGGATGCTCAGTAGAGTTTATGTTTTAGAGAAATGCTTGGCCAGTTAAGTACCTTGCTAAGTTTGTTTAGCAAGGCAGTGGTCTTTTGGAGGTGTTTTGGGGGTTGTTATCATGTTGGAATACTGTCCTATGGCCCAGTTTCTGAAGGGAGGGGATCATGCTCTGCTTCAGTATGTCACAGTACATGTTGACATTCATGGTTCCCTCAATTAACTATAGCTCCCCAGTGCCAGCAGCACTCATGCAGCCCCAAACAACATCCCACCACCATGCTTGACTGCAGGCAAGACACTCTTGTCTTTGTACTCCTCACCTAGTTGCCACCACACAGCCGTGATACTATCTGAACCAAATAATGTTATCTTGGTCTCATCAGACCACAAGTAATCCAGGTCCTTATTCTGATTGTCTTCAACAAACTGTTTGCGGGCTTTCCTGTGCATTATCTTTAGAAGAAGCTTCCTTCTGGGACAATAGCCATTTGATGCTGTGTGGTGTATTGTCTGAGCACCGACAGGCTGACCCTCCACACTTTCAACCTCTGCAGCAATGCTGGCAGCACTCATACATCTATTTTCCACAACTTCTGGATATGACGTCGAGCATGTGCACTCAACTTCTTTGGTCGACCATGGCAAGGTTTGTTCTGAGTGGAACCTGTCCTGTTAAACTGCTGTATGGTCTTGGCCACCGTGCTGCAGCTCAGTTGTAGGTGTTGGCAATATTCTTATTGCCTAGGCCATCTTTATGTAGAGTAACAATTCTTTTTTTCAGATCCTCTGAGAATTCTTTGCCATGATGCGCCATGTTAAACTTCCAGTGACCAGTATGAGTGAGTGTGAGAGCAGTAACACCAAATTCAAACACACCTGTTCTCCATGTGCACCAGCGGCCTTGTAGCACTAATGAGTCACATAACACCAGTGAGGGCACAATTTGGACATTTTAACTTAGGGGTGTACTCACTTTTGTTGCCAGTGGTTTAGGCAATGATGGCTGTGTGTTAAATTGTTTAGAGAGGCAGCGAATTTACACTGTTAGACAAGTTGTACACTGACTACTTTACATTGTATCAAAGTGTCATATCTTCAATCTTGTCCCATAAAAAGGTATAACAAAATATTTACAAAAATGTGAGGAGTGTACTCACTTTATTCAAATGCTGTACTTTTAAATACTCCAGGATCCACATGTAAGCCTACAGTCTTCTCTACTGGAGTGATATGGTACTACTGAATTAGATTCTGAATCAAACAGGGAGCCAATGAAAATAACCCAATATAGGAGAAATATGCTCTCTCTTTCTAGTCCCTGTCAGTACTCTTGCTGCAGCATTTTGGATCAATTGAAAGCACTTCAGGGAGTTGTTTAGATAAGTTGATAATAATGAATGACAGTAGTCAAGCCTAGAAGTGATAAATGCATGAACTAGCTTTTCAGCATAACTCTAATATTCTTGTTTCTCTCTCCCTCCCTCTCCTCTGCCTGGGTGGAACTCCTTGCAAGTTCCC